CTGTTTGCTCAATGATTCAGTGTTCTTACAGTGCTGATCCAAGCCCGAGACATGCTCCTCTGGATGTGGTCATGCTACGTCTGTACGAAGTCACCAGTTAACTGAGATCCCCTGTGGAAAACTGTTACGGATGCAGGATGGTTTGCTCCCATTGCAGGCTCATTTTCAGAGTCACTCCTCCTCACTCATGGTCATCTTCTACTTCACCCCAGGAAAACATGCTGGTTTTACACCAAGATTTACTTGCTGCTAACTCACCATTGAAAAAACCTGGTCTCGTGGAAGGTGTCCCTGCCCATGGCAGGGGGTGGCACTCGATGGTCTTTAAGGTCCCTTCCCACCCAAACCATCCTGGGATTCTGCGATTCGATGAACCTGGAATAACCCTGCTGTAGACCTGCACCATGCTGCAAACCAGCAGCCCCTCAAGAACACTCGAAAAACTTGTCCAAGAAAACAGAACCAGCCGACGCTTTGATGCATGCCACAGATCCTGAACCAAAAAGATGAACCTGAAGTGAACTGGAAGTATTATTCTTCAAGAAGAGAATTTTGAACTCCAAGTTCCTGAGAAAATGAAGACATGACAGATGGCTGCAAACTCTGCCCTCCAGAAACGGAACAGCAATCCCAGCACAGGGATCCGGCACTAGCAACGGAGACGGGCAAAAATAAAGATAATGAACTGAAGACCCAAAAGCTGTGTACTGAGAGATATGGAGAACCTGCACAAGACCAAAAAAAAAGTCAAAAAGTGAAGGATGGAGAAGCAGGCAGGAAGAACGGAGCACATTCAGCCAAGAAGGGGTTCGGATGCTGTTACAAGAGCTTGCAGCTGGATGTTCCAACCCTTACCCTGTGTGGCACTTGCTTGGGGTAATGCCCCCACACAGCTCAGCCCGGCAGCCTGGAGTGGGGGTCCCATCACCCCCGTGGCTCCTAGAACCTGCCCCGCTCACCAGTCCCCCAGTTCTTTGTGTGGGATGTTTTCCATTGTGCTGGCAGAGCAGAGAGCCCAGGCGCGGTATGGAGCGGGACGGCACACGCAATGCTCATCGCTCACACAAATCGTTTCATTTTTATTGTCTTGCAGAAGCCTATTTACCCGAGAAGCTTTCAAAAAAGTGCAAAACATTTTTAATTAATTGGTCAATACTCATCTCCCTGAAAGGAGGGGGAAGCTTCTCTGCTTTGAGAGATGGTTGGTTCTCTGCTGTTAGAGCTCAAAGTGCTGCTGTAGGCACTCCACCTAGTGGCTCGCGGACCATTGATAATTAATAATGCTAATGTTTGCTTTAGCCAGCAAACTGGCTGCCTAGAGACATGGAATGCATTTGTGAATGCTCTCGTTCTTCACACAGGAGTACAAACCTCAACACTTCATCTCAGAACATGCCACAGGACCACAAAAACCAGTGAAATTTGGACAGGCTCAACACAGTGAGACCGGCAGCTGGGTTTAAAGATAGTTCTTGGTGTTGCTTATTCTTCCTGAAACGGCCAGAAAACAAACATGCAAAAGCAGAAGCCTCCCACATGAACTTCTTGTGATAACAGCCGGGAGCAGAGCTGCCCAAAGCCACGGTGCATCACAGCAAGGGGCAAACTAACGGGTTTAGGCAGCTGATTGCTTTTCCAGTATCAAAACCAGCTTCTAATCCAGGGACACACAGGTTTATCCTGTGGCGGAGTTATAGTAATACCTGATATAACTTGTACAACTGCTGGAGGACTAAGGAAGATTTTGGGTTGGTTTTTAGGAGGGGAGCACAGCTGGCTGCACGCACGCTGAGTATCCTTTGCTAAGGACGCTTCTGGTCGCTCCAGGTTGGCTGCGGACGAGTTTTTCGTTCCAAGCCGTGCCGGCCAAGTCACCCAGCTCACTTGAACGGGAAAACAGACCCATGAAACTGCAATATCGAGAATGGTGCACAAAAATCTTTTACCTGCTGCCAGCTACCTACAGGTTTGAAGGACAATTTACTTTTCTTTCTTGCCCAGCAAAGAGCCTGAGGAGTAGCACAGCCCAGATTTAAGGCTGGGTGCTCATACCTGGGGCAAATTAAAGATGAAGAGAATAATCTAGAATGACCCTGGAGATGAAGCAGGTTCTCTCCCCTCCCATGAACATCAGAGGTGCCAGAGAAGGGATCTGCAAGCACAAGATAGAGTAACGAAATCCAAGAAAAGGGAGGGTTTGGAACACAGTGTGGCGGAAATATTTTTCCACTGTGAGACTGTCCCTTTGAAATCCCCCACCCTGGTTCATCCAGAGTGCTGGCTCCGTTTTACGCAAGATCCAGAACCAAATTCCTTCGAAACAACGGCGGAGATGAAGCAGCTAGTCATAAAATAAACTTCACTGATGTACGATCCACTCCACTTTGCGGAGAGGTAAACAAGAGAAAAACCAGAAGAGCTTTAAATCAAGATATATAATGGTGCCTAAGGGAATCAGACACCCACATCCCCATATTCCTGGGCCTCAGCTGGCACCTCAACTTACAGAAACTTCAAGAGCCTCAGCGCAAGTCTTACAACTGGTGGATTATACACAGACCCTGCTGACTGGGAGGGCAGCCAGCTCCTGGTGCACCACTTAAAAATTCTGATTCGGTGACATTAAATTCTTCTGTATGACCATTACGGGCAAAAGTCACATACGGGTGAGCAATGCTGCCCTGCTCGTCTCTAAAAGTAAGGCAGTACTTATTGGTGGGACTCAAGATTTGTCTCCCAACCCAACAGCAAACACTGGGCGAGCAGCATCCAGTGAGAATTCAACTGGGTGCAAGTGGGAAGTCAAGAGCCTGGAGGAAGAACACGGTATGAGGACAGAAGGACAGGAGACGTCATCCCAGATGACCTGAACACCCTGGTGCAGCATAAGACAAGACAGAATAGTTTGTGCTTTGTCGGAGGAAAGAAAACCACAAAGGAAAAACCCAGCATCATGCATTTTGACAGAAATTTCAGTTTGTAACCCCCACGGCAGGGAAGGAAGCTCCTGAAGTCTCCACAGCCCTTCCAACCGATCCCTCAGAACAGCTTTACACCGTGCTTGGGGTCACAGGTCTGGCTGCTGTGACACCAGGTCTCTAAAGGGTTTTAATTGTGCTCAAGAAGTCCTTCCACCATTCCATTCTGGCCCTAAGCCTCTGAAAGCCCAGGCTGCACTCCTGGGACGATGGGAACAGAAAGGGAGCGAGCAGCACCCAGCCTTCTCTCAGACAAGTTCTTAAAAATAATGCGTTCAGGAAAGAAATCACCAAGCCAACTCTCCTGCATTCCCTGCCGTCCCCTCCCCACATACATACTGCTTCATGGCGATCAGCTTCGAGTCCATGCTCTCCTGCTTGCCCTTCATCACCTGGATGTCCGTCAGCAGCTTGGTGACATTGTCTTGCCGAACTTTTATATCCTCGTTCTTTATACTGGACACCTGGAGACAGAGAGGAAGATGTCAGTGATGTTTCCTTCCTACAAAATGTTTTTTTAAGCTTCAAAGTGGACGCTGTAAATAATTCATCTCCCCTCTCTAGACCACCCGCTGCATTCACACCCGAGTGCGTTGTGGCCAGGGAACAAAACCAGCCGCCTGCAAAGCACGTTTTCTGCAAGTAAATTACTATTTGAAAACATCCAATTCTCCCGCAGCCTAAAAAAAATAAAATCTTTTTGGATCAGAAATGCAGCACTCTGGTAGAAGTGAAGGGCTGCACGAGAGCTCTCATGGACCAGGACATTCTCATCTACGACAATCCTAAAACTAAAACCTCGCAGCCACAATGACCAGGGAGCACATTTGCACTGATGACAGGAAACAAACATTCTTCTCGCACACTTCCCAAAGTCTCTGCTGTGCACAGTGAACGGAACATCGGTCGTAGCAATTCAGAAAGTCATTAGCCAGTTTGAGAAGGAAAATCAGGAGGAAAAGGGCAGCTTCTCTCCACTCGCCATCAGGTCATATGTCTTTAAGATGTCTTTACATCCTTCTAACGCTTACATCCTTCCCCTCTGTGAAAATGTCCACAGGAACCAAATGCCTCAGTGACAATGGCACTTTGGGTCATCCAAGAGCATCCTGGGATGGACAGAAGAGCGAGCTGCTCTCTGCTTTGGTTAATATTTGGAAAAGAATGACAAGGCCAGAGTGCTGGTTGCTTTCTGCCGGTGGGGTGGGACAGAGGGGACGTCTCCAGCGGTGCCATAACGAACCTAATGCTGAAAACAAAAAAAGAGCCACAGACAAAAGGGACACGTCCCAAGAACCTGAAGGCAGCTGATCAGCAGGATGGCAACGCAGCTCGTGCTTTGGGAGAGGGTGGGGACAGCGAGAGGAGCTGCTGCCCTAAAGAAATAACCAGTGACGCCAACGTCCATCGACCTCGAGAGCACATCGACGC